TGACATAGTGCAACTCACAGTACAGTATGAGGACCCCAGGTCTCACACACACACACACACACACACACACACAACACACACACACACACACACACACACACACACACACACACACACACACACACACACACACACACACACACACACACACACACACACACACACACACACACACACACACACACACACACACACACAGGCTTAAATGCATTTTAAGCCATAATTGAGTTGGAAATAATAACAATTAAGCTTGAATCCGAATCGAGCTGTATGGTTTACACACCACTGCATGCAATCTCTAGCACGCACACACTGACCATAATCACAGCCATCATTTGCTCAATCATGGCAGACGTTCCTCAGTATGGTTTGGCCTATAGCGCTCATTTTCAGGTTCATATTTGTATTGTGTGCTTCTACTGTGACATGTTTACATGCTGTAATGTTGAAAAAGTGCTTTAGGCAGGGGGGAGTGTGTGAGAGAGAAACTCCCTCTTGGATTTTAGCCTTTGCAGAACATGCTAAAAAACCTGTATAAAATATAACCCGAAACATAATAAGAAGGCATTTGTAAGGAGTCCAGTGTCACTAACAAAACTGAATGTAACATGTAATGAATGTTGGTAGAAGGGCGTAGTCTGGGCCATGGAATAAGATCCAAATCACAAGGCAGATACACGTTATCTTTCACTTGCTCAAATGGCCTTGATCTAGGTGCCTAGACTGCCCTATTGTCCTTGAAGCTTGTCATGCGGTCATCTTGGTTGCTTAGTGTCTTGTAAGCCCATGCTAGCCACCGATAAATCAATGTTTGGTTGTTCTTTAAAGCTTTAAAAAAAAAAAACAGCCAATATCTGGACTCCTTGAGAAAAATCCTGCTGCTGCACAGAAGAAAAAGAAGCAATTTGTGTTCAATCAATAGCAGAACAAAAGGGAGGAAAGGAATGCTTACAAGATGCAGCCAAACCAACTGGAGCAGTATGAACAACAAGGGAAGAGAGTCCACCGAAATATAAACCAGCTCTGAGTGACACTTCAAAAACCCTAAATCCATCTCCATCTGTGCAACATGAGGCTTGCAGAGCGAGGAGGACAGCCAGACATCGATCTCCTTCAACGAGAAGGACACCATATTAACTAAGGGGCGGCCATCTCTTATTCATACGCTGCTCATTACTTATCAGCGCCCTCTCACTCCTGTGCTCTGATAGGATTTTCACGGTCCATTTACGGGACAGGGTGTTTGAGGGGAAGATGGAGGAAGGGCGGGTTGAAGACGGGGTAAATGAGGGGGATGGGGAGAGTAAATAAGAGGCAGGGATGGAGAGGTAGAGGGAGGCAGACGTATAGAGAAGGTGGAAGGCGATCGAAAGAGGGCGAAACGTGTAAATGACAGAAGGGACAGAGAGGTTAGTCCAAATGACCCACTTAGCAGGAGACAGACGAAAATGGCTTTTAATTTACACTTAGAAGTCTGGGTGTGATAATCATGATGGCCGTATGAAATGATGTTTCAAACACAGGAAGTGTTCTAATTAAAGAGGTCCTAGAATGCCTTTGGGATTTTCCATTTCCTGTTGTGTGTTATATTTGTTTGTGTGCATGTAAATGGTCTGCAAAGGTTCAAATCCAGATGGAGTTTCTCTCCCACACACTGCCTGAAACGCCTCCATTGGACTCCTTTGTTTTCTTCCAGGACAGAGTGACATCATTAGGGCTGCTCGATAATGGGAAAAATCATAATCTCGATTATTTGGGTCAATAATTGATATCACGATTATTAAAAAACGATTATCCATTTACTTTGAAAACATCCATTTATTGAAAAGAAAGTGTCAACAGTATATTTTTTAACAGTTGATTACCCTGAACTTTAAGTATAATTCAACTGAACATTTTTCTTTTTTTTAATTAAAATAAATAATAATCGTTTTATTTCGATTATGTTGTTTTCATAATCGTTGCAAGCCAAAATCGTAATTGTGATTAAAAAACGATTAATTGAGCAGCCCTAGACATCACTTCGTAACACTCGCGCTTCTATAGGCAACACATTTTACGTGATAGGCTCAGGGGTTATCTGTAAGTTGTCAACGAATCACAACAGAGCCGGCCAGCTAACCAATCAGAGCAGACTGGGGGCGTTTCTCAATGTCGAGTACGCTTGCTTGGTAGCACATGTCTTCCGAGTCACTTGCTTCAGAAGCGAGGCAAGAATCCTTCCTGGCATTCGGAAAACGAAGAGTGGAACAGGCTAGCAAGTGTGCAGGTGTGCGTCATATGAGAGGCCCCGCCTTACATTTTCCGCCACAGATTTGGGGAAATTGGTCCGTGCGCAAAGCATTGTGGGGATTTTAAGACCGCGGAGTCTACACCACACAAAAA